AAGTTAAATGTCGATTTATTTCGTATTACCTGTTATATTTTCGTGTTATAATAAGCGAGTTTCTTTTGTTCGAAAACGAATCAGTTGTTACACAGTTTATTTTTAAATTCACTTTTATTGTCGTACATATTTATTTATATAGATACATAATATACGTAATTTACATGATAAACTCGTACAAATAGTCTAATTATGTTACAAAATGCAGTTGAATATAAAAAAAAGTACTATAAAATGATAAAAAACAATACACATAAGTCGTTATGATAGAGCTTAATTCTACCTTCTAACTTTTACCTTCACATTTGTGTGAAACTAGACTTGGCATATCATAGATATCTTAAAAATATACTTATAGTTAAGCTGTCATAGACGGAATCATGTGAGAAAATAGTCAATAGATGAAATCTTTTGTATGATATCTGCAGTGAAATTTGTGATGGGAAAGGATTGAAAGATTTTCAATCACAGCAGATTATATCGTAAATGTTCGGTATGTTTCCGCCTTAACCAGAAATTAATGTTAATCCTAAAATTAATATTTCGTAAAAACAATCATTACACAACACAAGCGAATTTTTCGTTTTTTAATAAGATCCGCAATGAAATTAACGAGATACCGATCTACTGTTGATATAAACAGTGTAAACAGCGTCTAAGTCTTACGCCTTTCGGCTATTTAAGAACGAACAATAGAACGCGGGAAAAAAAAACAAAAATCATAACAACGTTCACTATGTATAATTTTAACTTAACTTCTAGCCCCTTATATGTTGAAAGTCACCGCACATTTGATCGGAGGGTGTTACAATGTATTTTCGTCGACGTGCAGCTCAGGTCGTAGTGATGCGCACACCCGACATAGCCGATGTCACACGCACAAGATATTGTGTGTGCGCCGCCGCTGCATCGTTGAATACGCAGCGGCGACTTAAGTGTAATTCTTGTGCAGTGTCCAGCAGCTACATCAAATGTGTGTGTTCATGTGTGTTTGTATGTATGTGTATGTGTCAGTGGTAGATCTCCGGGGGGGATATGGGGGATAAATCCTCCCCCGTGGGATGTATTTTAGAAAAATTTTTTTTTGTAACCAATGCAATTTTTACGTGGACAATTTAAATAAAAACTATTATTATTCTGTAACCAAGAAGGATACACGTATCTAACTTCATATCGGATTACGGATACACACATCGTACTAGTGCTCTGCATGGTCCGGTCTTAATCAGTCCGGTCTAGTACGGTCCTAACATACAAAAACGATTGAATTGTCGGTTTGGTCCGGTTTAATCATTTTTAGGAGTAGTTCGGTCCAGTCCTCAGATCAAATGTATTATTTTCATTTCGGTCCAGTTTCAAAAAAAAAAAATGAAAATCAATCAGGTCCGGTCTCAGTCCGGTCCCAATCATGGTACTTAAAATCTAAATACAGGTAGTGTTATGTAAACAAATAAAATTAAAAAAAAACCTACAATTTAAGGTATAAATTTATTTATAAAATCGGGTAGTCCAGTCCAGTATATTACTAAACGCATCATATAGTATGGTCTGGACTAATACAGACTGAACCTTATGGACCGGTCCATAAACGGTCCAAAATGTTTTAAGATCAGACCAACAGTCCGATCCACAGTCTACTTTATTAAATTTTATTTAATTACTGATCCGGTCCGGTCTAAAAAATATACTAAGCCGTCGGTTCTGTCCAATTTTGGTCTTTGATTAACGTTTAAGTGTGGTCCGGTCCGACTTCGGTCCCCTGGTAAAATTTGAAGTCTGGTTTGGTCCTTAAAATAACGGACCGTGCAGAACACTACCTCGTACTTATATCATGACCGACCTAGGATACAGCCATAGAGTAATATGTAATATATTAATAATTGTAATGGAGTACTCTATTAATCTACGGCCACAGTTGATTAGCTAATGTTTTCAACATTAAGGAGACTAAAAACTTACTTGAGAAATAATACGGGTCAGGTGTAGGTGTATAGTATATATAAATGATAAATACCTTTTAACATATTTTTAATTTTATGTAGAAGCGACTGAATGGGCTTACCATATTGTCCGTTTATAGAAAAATACAAGTAAAACCCTATGAAGTAATCGTTATGATAGCATAGACGTGTCTAGACGTCAAGAAAATTAAATCTTGTTTTGTAAATTTAGTAGACTAAAGCATATATACCTATTTATATATATTATGTACAGAAATATTTTATACCTCCCTCCCCTCATGATAAAATCCTAGATTCACCACTGGTGATTGTGTGTATGTGTGTGTGTGTAAGTTGACGGCGTTCGAGTCCGGACGTCCGGTACCGCATTTCTTCGTGTTTCCACTTCCAGGGACGATGATCGCGGGGCGATAGGCGCTGCCATAATAGCCGCTGTCACACGCACAAGAGTTTTATTTGTCGCAGGCACGTCGCGAACGGTTTGGTTATTTTTTTTTATACATATTTTTTTTTCGTTTCCTCTTTTATAATCTTGAGCAGTGTCCAGCAGCTACGTTGGCAGCGCGATCGTACAAGTCGGCAGTCGTCCGCGCGAGCTCTGAAAACGTACGTCGGATCTAGACTGCGAAAACATTTACGGTGGCGGTTACGTAGAAAGGAAACCAATCGCGGAATGCGCGCAAACATATCCTTAAGGCAGGGATAGGCAACTCAAAGTTACTAAAGGGCCAATTTCTAAAAAACTAAAATCTAGCGCAGCGTTTCTTAAACTGTATTCCGTGGAACCTTGGGGTTCCACGAAGCTTAAGTAATTTTTTAAAAATGTTTAAGACAATTACTTTAAAATGTCCAACTAAAGATTAGTTATTGTGAAAAAATGTTTGCATTATAGAAAAAAAAATCTTTGTATGTTTAATAACAATGTATAAGCCATATGGAATAGTCTAAATTTATATTTAATCTAATTAAAGTAATTATTATATATGTATACAATTATTATTATTTTAATTTTAATTTTAACATTTTTTTTAATTTAATATCTTTAACACAATATTATTATATGATTATAATTTATTTATAAATAATCAAAAAAAAAGTATGGTTTCCACGATAAATGTGAACATTAAAAGGGTTCCACGGATAACAAAAGTTAAAGAAACACTGATCTAATGAGCTGGAGCGTAGAAAAACAAGATCATTTAAAATATGAATTTTAATTAGCATTTATGTATACGGAAATAATAAATTCAACACACAGGACATCACGACACGAATGATACGAGGAAACTAATATAGTTAAATTGTGTGGTACAAACAGCTATGCTTGAAAGCTGTATGTATGTATGTATACATACATACGAGTATGACATTTACACTCTAATATTATGACTCTATACTACTCTACTATTATTATTATGATATATATCATATAGACATTTAACGATGTTTAATACCAGATAACAATTATTCTATCGATAAGATAGAGTATAGACGACAAACTTTAATATTGTATGATAAAATTTGAAAATATAGATCGGGCCAGATAAAAAAAGCTCTTGTGCCGCCAGTTGCCAACCCCTACCTAAAGGTATCGTAACATGGCCGCAGGGTATGCAACTGACGGTTTATATTCTACTTTTTTTCGGAGACTGCTAATTTTTCTTCATAAATACACTATTGTAGGTGTATGCGCTATAGCTTCATTGCATACCCCGAATTCAATGTCTGGCTACGCTTATGGATCGTAATATGCCATAAATATATATATATATATATATATTGAATATGTGCTAAAAATGTCCCATGCGGATATTTAACAATGAAACAATTTTCTAGGGCTAAGCTATTGCACGAGGCAAACGTTGAATATCACGTCACTAATTATACTCGGCTATAGATTGAAGGCACATGGATTTTTCGAGTAAATCATTGACGAGTACTGAATGATCAAACGGGATATTTACGTCTATATAATAATATATACATCATATTTTAATTAAAGCTCATACATGGTGTACAGGAAACGTTTAATTTAAGAAGGACGTAAATGAAATGAATGGGCAAAAGCAGTGTCTATTTTAGTCATCTGAACAAATATAACTCTACTAATTTATTTTAAATAATTTGTAAAACTATTTAGAAGAACTTATATTTCAATAATTATCATTAACATTTCATTGGAATATTAACATAAAAAAAACTGAAATATTTCGTAATTTGTTAACAAAAATGTGTTTTCAAAAATGTATCTAATTAATGATGTTAATATTTACATGGATACTCTTTTTGTAAATAAACTTTAAAAGTATTTATTATGTTCTTAAAGTTTACCCTAAGTTTATCAATTTTTTCTTGATATTAAAACTTTCTTTTAGTTTTTTATTAATCGATAAAAAAAGTGAATTGTGCTAAAAGTTTGCTAAAAACTTACGTGTCCAATAACAGTTAAATTAAAGGAATTTGAAGGATTAGCATTTCCAAAATTATACTAAATATTCTTTATAAAAATATAATAATAAAAGATATCCCAAGATATTCCTAACCTGAACTCAAAGATATAAAAATAAAACTCACATCTATTATACAGAAAATGTTTCTCTACATTATAATAGGCACGGTGGTATCAACAAATTATTTTATGGAGCTCGCCACCAAACTGTGGGACTGTGTTTTTTTCTCACTCAAACACATGATTTAAATTTTAAACGCTTAATATAAAGATTAAGTAAAAAAAAAAAAAAAAAAAAATGAAATAAATTATTATTTTGTTCTGATTACACTAAGGGGCGGATACAGAGGCCCTAAACGGAAAGGGGGCAATTAATAAATAATAAATATAAACTACTAAGTTATAGGCTAAAACAATATCATCTATTTTAAAAAATAAAGGTGTTTATTTTTTAGATAATGAAGAACTTTATGTATTTGTTTAAAAAAAACTTATTAATCTTTATAAATTACCGCTAATTATTATATATGATAAATATTATATATAAATTAATTAATAAATTATTTTAAATTATAAAATCTTTTTTTCTATTATTTTTTGAAAATATATCTATCACTTCATTTATGTCAATATGTTGATCTCGATGACAATGTAAAATCGCCAATTCAGGAAGTTTTTCTTGCATCGCAGCCAAGTTTTTATTTTCTTAAGTGGAGAAAAACTCCTTTCAGCCGACGCTATACTAACTGTAAAACTAGCTAAAATCTTTAACAGTGAATATATTGTTGGAAACATATCTTTATCACAATGTTCTAAAGAGTTTAGAGCTGTATCAGGAACATCATTTTTTTCTTTATTCCAATATTCTTTCCACCAAATCATTTCCCCTTGCAACTTTCTAATAAAAGCTTCTCTATTTGCAAACCTGTCACTTAATCTTTGTACATTTAGAAACTGATTCCAAATAGATTCAAATATTTGTATTGTATCTTCGTGTATTTTAGAAATTAATATTTTTGGCACAAATATTCCTAAATTATTCAAGCTCAATGTTTCTTCTGTAAATCTTGATTTCTTATCGTTTATCATAAAATCTAAAAACGGAATGTATACTGTTACACGGAAATAGTCTTCTACATTTTTAATATCCGGATTTGATCTGTGATGCTGTGATGATATTGTTCTAGGCTTTTTAACAGTGATCTCTAATTTTTCCATTTTTTCAACAGTTTTAATGTACAAATTTTTGAACTCTATTTTACTGTTTAATCTAAGTTTATTTAAAATATCAGTAGTTGTATTTATGCCGTTAACTGCAGACTGTTTATCAAATAATTTTTTTTCGCAAAATTACATTTAGTGGTTTTGTAATCGAAAATATATTTGAAACAACATAAAGAATGATAACGAAATCGCAGTTTATTGAATTTAATATTACCTTGGCTTTACTAGATGACTCTCGATTATCCCAAACGGTTATTTTTTGAAGAGAATCCATAATTTCCGAAATTCCAATTAAAAACTATGTCACTGTTATATTCCGTTTAACCCACCTGGTTTCACAAAGCGAGTGTATTGAGGAATGTAGAACAGACTGTAATACAAAATTTCGTTTCGAACTTCCGTGAAAAAATGAAATAATTCCTTAATTTGTCCAAAACTATTACGGATAGACTGAATTTGACAGCCTTTAGAAATGACAAGATTGAAGCAATGATTAAAACACGAGCATCTCACAGCACTTGGTATCTTTTCAAGCATAGTTTTTACTGCACCACACACTTTTGAAGCCATAACGCTACAACCGTCAGTAGCAATACCAACCAGTTATTAAAATCCAAATTGAAGTTTTTCATTAATTTTAAAACAGTTTCTTTTAATTATTTACCATTTATTTTTTGTTTTACTCGTATTTCAGAATTATCGGAATTATAATTGTGTGGATCTATAAAACCAAGAAAATTTTCATGAATAGTGTAATCATCATTAATATATCGTACAACTAAACATAATTGAGATGTAATAGATATATCTGTAGTTTCGTCGAACATTATGTTATAATAGGGAGACAAATTTACTTTGTTTATAATATTGTTGATAATTAATTCACTTCAGATGGATATAATTTCATCTGCGTAGTTTTACTTTTTTATGTAACTTTGGAACTTGTATTTTTCAAATAGTCTTCTAAATCCTTATTCTCAAACTATCAAGGTTAGCATAGTTAATTTAAAAATAAATTTATTGATTACTGTTATTGTAAAAGCTGCAGTAGTAAAGAGTAATAGTGAAAGTGAATTAGAATGGTAGGTATACATATTTTGATGACCCAAATTCCAAAAATAAAATATTAATTACAAAAATCAAATTTGATACTTTTTTGGTGAACGGGGGGGGGGGGGAACTGCCCCCATCGCTTCCCCTTTTATCCGCCCCCGATTACACTTATAAATCGAAAATAAAAAGTAAAATGTCTCGTTAAAAAGTTCCCGTTATATCATATTATATTGTATCAGAAATGACGAAAATTCCACGTATTTTTCAATAATTTTTGTACAATAGTAACAGAATGAAAATAAATAAAAATATTATTAAACACGAGGCTTCGTGTATAAATTATGTATACCATATATATGTATGTGTGTGTGTGTGTTGTGCTTGAATATAGTGAATTCCATCAGAAATTGATGCACGCATACCTTTAAAACGTCCGGTGAAAAATGGTAGGCACTCGCTGTTAAAGTTATTCGGTCCGTCGCATGCATGACATACGTAAACTGCCAACAAAAAAATACATTAATATTAATGCGCTATTACAGGTCTAATGCACATTTTTTTTATTTTTTGCGTTGAGTTGCATATTTACAGTTTATGCAGAAAGTCAAAATAATAAAATCTATAAATTATAAAATTATAAAAATTATAGTAATGATAATAAACAGATTAATATGATTTAATTTAATTTTTAGTTATTAATCGTCTGAGAGTATATTTTTAAGTTTTTACATATAGTCAGTGGCGTATATAGGAATTAATTTCGGGGGGGGGGGGGGGGGGGTATGAAAAAATATATACTAAATGAAGGTTATAAATTAACTTATTTTTAATAACTATGAAAATTAGAATACATAAATTTAATTACAGGACAAAGTCTAATTTTTGAGGTAGATTTACAAAATTATTTATCACTTCTTCAGTGTTTATTGAAATACTTAGATGAATTGACATGAGATAATTCTGTTAGTCGATTTTTGCTTGTACTATTTCTCAAGCACGACTTCAATCTTTTCAATATCGAAAACAATCTTTCTGATGACGCTGTTGAGACTGGTAAAGTTACTAATATTGACATTAAGCACCATATATTTGGAAAAAAATCAACGGATAGTTTATTCAAAGTATCAATAGTAGATTTGGATTTCTGACAAACCACGGAACATTTGCAATTATTCTGAGGACTTTGTTTTGGATAATTTGCATTTTTTTGATGTGCGAAGATGCACAATCACCCCATACCGGGCAAGCGTAGGTAAGAATTGGGCGTATAATTTGCTTAAAAATTAGGAGAGAGCATTTTTTTTCCCATACTAGACAGTTTGGTTTTAATTAATACATGGATTAAAGAAATGCACACGTGGGTCGTACTAACCATAAATTTCGGAGGGGGGTTTGAACCCCCCCCCTATATACGCCACTGCATATAGTTATCGACTATAAGCAATGAGGATAAAAAATATGAACGATTATCTATTATATGTATATCTATATACATATCTATTATAGATTTCGTAAGAATAAATTTATTTTACAATTAAAATAAAGTTTGAATATTGAAGAATATTTTGCCTATTTTTATGGAATATATTATATTATTGTACATAAAATAAATTATATATATTGTTGATTTCTGAGTTGTGATTTTCTCATTGCTGGAAAAAAATTTTATTTGACTTAAGAACGATAAAAATCATTTAGTTTCTTTATTCAGTCAGGGAATAATAGAGAACAACTATCTGAATATTTAAATTATAGCTTAGTTGCTATTATAAATAATGTACCACTGACATGGGTCGACATGGAAAGGTCATTCAGTTTGTATAAAAATATTTTAACAAATAGAAGAACAAATTTAACTTCTAGCAGTATAGAGCAATACATTAATGTAAATAAAAATAAACTTTGTGATACATAGATTATACATTTTAATTAACATTTTTTTATGATTTACCAAAAAATGGTGTACAACCCTGTTTACAACAGTTATTTAATGGTTTATATATATATACATATTTGTTAAATGTTTTAAATTTAAATAAAATGGTATACAGTAAAAATGTATTTTATCTTAAAATAAAGATTTATAAGGTATTATAATATCTTGAAATTCTTAAATACCCATATCCTATAATTTCATTTTAAAATATATTTTTTTTAAAGTTATTCTACATTTTACACTTTTCCAAATAAATAGTCAACAACAATAATTTATTATTTTATATTTTGTTTCATTAAATTTGTTTTATAACTTTTTTATTATTTTATTTTATTAAATATATATTATTTGCTTCATATCTAACTTACAGCATCTGAACTAATCTATTTTATTAATTGACTATTTTACTAAATCTGGATTTTATGTTGCTTAAAAATGCAGTTATATGAAGAGATGATTTAAATTATTTTCCATAGTTCAATTAGTTTATTTATGAGATTTAAAAATAGATTGAGTTAAAAAGAAATTAAAAATCTAACAAGAAAATAATTAGAAGAATTATGGTTAAATTGTTCAACTAATTAAAATAAAGTTTTTTTTTTAGAAATATGTTTAAAAATTAACTTCTTCGAGAAAAAACAAAAATCAAAATGAACCATGTAAAATGTACATGTTTAACGAAAATTATAATATTAAAATCAAATTAAATAAAACTTGATAATGTTGGAATTAATCAACTGGAATGTATAAAAATATTATGATTTTAAATAATTAAAAGTTATCAACCAACATCAAGAGGATTATTGAAAAGCTATATATAACATTTTCGCATTATGAATTATTGTATATTATATTATAATGCTTCCGAAGACTTGTAAAATCGTTAAGGTGGTTAATCCTCTTATTCACTGATTCTATGGCTATAAGTCCACTGGTATATAACTATCCACTTATTGTGTGTCCAATATCATTGTACCTGATATTTAAAACATCGATATTCCATATAGTGTTTGATTATTAGCGTTGGAGTGAGATGTTTATAAAATGTTCGTTCGGAGTAATATTTTGTTTTTCCTATAGCATACCGTTCACGTTAATAGAAAACGGAGTTCTTATCTACTACTACTTGCTGCTAACAAGTTACGGATCGACACATGCATACCTCCCCAATTAGTTTTATAATGCAAAATAAATCGACATTAAAATTATGCTCTTGGTTCATCGAAAACTAAAGCATACACTCACTAATTCTTCTATCAATTCTCTGTTTGGTAACGTTGTGTTATCAACAACAATAACGAAGAAGTTACGTTTGTAATACGAGCTGAAGAACGATTGAACATATACCTTTTTGGCAAAACAATCGAGCATAGAATATTTTATGCGAGATTGTTACATTCACGTTCCCGAAATTTTGTAACTAATATTATTCACCTATTTTTTCATCAACTATTAAAATACTTAACTTAAAAGAGCCGCGAGCCAAGAACCGAGTGTTGTCGGCAATGTTATCGATTTATTTAATGCAATTAATATTAGTTTTATCCGTAATATATTGATATTTTAAATATTTAGCATTGGAAGAAAATATAAGATAATTACGGTAGTTACGCTTCCAAAATTATTAGGTATAAGAAATAATTCAGTTTATACATATATTGTTCGATCACCTATAATCGTATCACATATAGTGCGTTGTGTAGTTATAGTTATATAGTGTATATAGTATAATGTACTTTTTATATTTTTAACATGGATACAACAATAATTTTGTCGGAAAGAGGCAAAGAATTGGCCTTAGTGAATTTTTACAGACATAAGTTAATTGGAGAACGAAAAAAAGATAATCTTTTGAGATGGAAGTGTATCAATAATAAAAGTTCAATAATAATTTTCTCTGGGTTAGATAAACGTAATGCGATTGAAACTTCTGAACAACACAATCACATTCGAAATTAAACTGAAAAAATATTATAAAAATACACATTTTGAGAGAAAATGAATAGTTAATATAATTAAAAATTGAAATTGGCAAAATCACAGAGTTTTTTTATGCTCAATCATATAGGTGTCTATTGTATTTCTATATCCTTTGATATATCAAAAAATTTGGTCAATCATGTTGTAAAAAGGGAGTTTTATTCTCAATCGTATAAATACGTATGAGATTATGCGAGATAGAGTTACTTAGTCAAAATATCGGCTGTTAATAATCTGTAGCGTAGTATCCATTGATGCACATACGGGGTTGATACGAGAGTATTTACTCCTTAGCACTTCCAGTTTATTTTTAGATAAAGTATACTGTCAAAGAATTTTTTTTTTTTTTTGTTTTTGCTTATGAAAATAAGTTTATTTCAATTTTTATTCGTATTACTCAATATTAATATTATCGTTACCAACATTAGTACAATAATAAAAATAAAAATAATTTTTTTCGATTTATATTATATTTTTAATGAACGTAAAGCAACGCTATGTTGGTTATACATATATATTAAACCATATAAGATCGTTTATTGAATATAGGTTTTCGTTATCTCAATGTTATTTTGAGATTAAAATACTTTATGCTCACAAGGTGTAGGGGGTGCGAGGAGCTAAGCTCTCCATTGGTTACCTTGGGTTCAATAATCTTAGCACTCCAAACTTGCATGCTGAAAGTACGCCTATAGTTGTATCAAAGCACGTACACTTATTTATAAACGTTAAACAGTTAAAGAAATAATCGGTTTCGATCGTACCAACCAGCACATTAAAAAGTACACGTATACGTAAGCCCAGGTGAACAAACATACGCACGTACAAATAAAATCATAATGTATAGTGTATTAATCTTAACAGGAAATGTGTTCACTTAACGTAAAAAATCCCGTTTAAAGCGCAAAAAATACTGTGAATTCCAAGGTTGATTATTTTTTTTTAAATATGAACACAAACACGATTTATTTTGTTGTCCAAATGCCAAAACGAAAAATTCTCTAACTGTATAATCTTTTAAGATAAAGTTATCAGATCCGGTACTCAAAATTTAGACGTCGAGGTTTTCAATTAAATTTGCATGTCACATCGTGCTTATAAACCAAATGAAAAAAATGTTATGAACATTTTACTCGTATACATGGAACAAACCTTAACCCCGTGGCACGGATATACAAGAGAAAAAAAAGTAACGAAGATATGAAGAGACAAGTATAGTATGCGGTAGATAATATATTATCTAAGGAGAGTATATTATACTCTCCTTTATTATATACCAGGACTAAATTTTAGTTTCCAACAATTTGTTTGAAGAATTGTATACGTTTAAATAAATCAAAATTATTTTGTTATTATAAATTGTATGACAAAAAGAATTTAAAAAAATACTTTCAATAATTGATTCCTACAATATTTAATCTATTTTGAATACTTTACATTTTAATATAGTACTTGGATAAATTATAAAACTTATAAAATTATAACTTATTATATTAATAATTAGTATTTTTAATATAGTAATAAATATTCTTTAGGAAGAAGCCTAACCTATATGGAAATTTATTGATGGAATAAAAAAAATTCAAAATTTAGAAGAATTGAAACGAGTACAGTATAATGTTGGAGAACAACTACAAAAAAAAAAGTACAAGGACTGTGCTAAAGACTTCATCAGTTAATTACAAATTATAATACTAATGATAATAAGAACATTGCTAGAGGTATAATTAGTATTCGAGGTGTGAAATATTTAATTTAAAATATTTCACAAAAACGTTAAATATCGAAACTTTTTTAACACTAATATTAATGAAGGTTATTTATTAATTATTAATTATATAATTTAAAAGTTCTAGTTCTAGGTATAATCATTGATATGAATGGAATGAACACCGTGGTTGACATATAACTATATTGGGGTTTTGTTTTCGAGTTTTTATAACATTAGTGCTAAACTTAGTTTTTTCCCCAAGGTAAGGGCTTATCATCGGCAATATCGACAAACAATGTATCATATATGATGATACTATTATTATGACTGAATATAAATATATTATTTATACTTTATTTATTTTTAATATATTATACTATTATTATTATTTATTTATTATATAAATACCTATAAGCAAATTAATTACAATAAACTGCCTTAATTATATTCCTATTAAAAACTTGGCTACATTGCATACCACATTTATATTTATATTTATATATTTAAATAAATAACTGATAAATTAATAATTATATTATGCTATATTAATAATCAGTACTACAGTGAACTAATGTAAGAATTCAATATAATCAGTATTGAATCATTATGTTTTTTGTATGTTTTTTTTTGTCAATAAAAATAATGTTGAATACCATTTTTAATGTATAATACCAAAGAAAACCATTACTAATGAGTAGTTAGTGATTGTTTTCCCTAATATTATAAAATCGTGAATTTAAGTTATAAAAATTATACGTAAAATTAAACTTATTAAAAAAAAAAAAAAAAATGTACCTATTATAATACAGAAATATTTCACTATTATGAATTTCATGAAATTTCCAAACACTAGGTATAGCATATAATTTGTCACTAAATGCTTAATCGTCTATTTTCGCTATTATTAATTCGCGGTTATTGTTCCGCTATTTTGGCCGGATACCATTTATAGTAGTAATCGGCTTAACCAAATGTCCTATCAATCAATTGATAAGATTGCATTTGGAAAAATGGTGAGTTGAAAAAATCGATGATTAGGATTCGTTAGAAAAAAAGAATAAAAAAAAATATGAAAATAACGCATTCAAATTCCGTGTAAAAAGAGAGTAGCCGCGCAGCGGAAAAATGAAATGTGATTTTGCAATACTGATGCTTTTGCGAGTGACGAAAATAAACCCTGTGCAATATAATGGCGAATTGCGTAACACGATGTATTCCGGGACGCATAGAAACATAGGTTTCGTAAAAACGTGTAGCGTCTTGCGCGTGTATATATATGATATATATATAATATAAAACATCGTAAAATATTATTAGCGTCTGTAAATTGTATCGAAAAATCGTTTACGCAACAACAGCGCTGTTTTTTTTATTAACACTGTGTTTTCGTTATGCGACTGTTTCGTAACCGCTGTGCGTCTCGTGTACTCATCCATTGTCCGACGATACGCTCGTTAAATGTACTACGCACGCACGTATATATAAATATATATGTATATATATATATATATATATAATTATATGCCGGCTCGTAAAAATGTTATATAATTATATTTTTCAATCGTCTCGTCGACCAGCAGGGATGCGCATACGTAAAGGGTTGACGGTCGCGCGTGTTGTACGACTGCGGAAACGCGAAATAGACAATTAACAATGGTGAAAAAGTGTCGAGGAAAAACTTTTAATAATTACTTATCGATGTCAGCAAGAACGATGATCGAGCGAGTGACTTGCAGCGAGTCGACGGCATCCACGAACGCACGCCGAATACACATGTGCGAGCCGAACCTACCGCAATCCGCTCGGGAATCAATATTGACAACGAACCAACAACGAACCACTTGCAGTGGCGTTCGTTCTGGTATACTAGTCTACTTTGTCTTCCAAGGATTATGCGACGCTGGTAATGAGTAGTGCTACCGTATTGATGGACCTATTTGGACGAAAAATCAAAAATAAAGCGAAAACAGCGACGTTGGTGCCATACTGATTTGTATAAAAAAAGGAACGGTACGGAGCCTCGGGTTTAGGATCCCACTGTAAAGGTTTACTTTTGTAAATATCGATTAGAAGAAAAGTTCCTTTCTCTGACCGTTCCGTGATAAAATTAAAGCGATTTAAATACTTAGAAAATTTAAATAACGTAAACATTAATAAATTAATATAGATAAATTCCGAGAATAGTTAAAAACTGACGAACCTGTCCACGCGCCATCCAAACTTACACAAGGTTGTGTTCGCGAAAAAAAACCTACTCGCGTAAGTTCGATTTGCACATGTGTACCCTACGCGATACGACCGCACGTAAACGAATATCTCTGCACGTTTCCGCCGTCTTCCATTGACTCTTCGACTGTCCGGGCAGCAGCGTTGAGGTCGCGCAAAGCCACTCGAGAACAGACACCGACGACATCGCCAATCGTTATGTTTAACATTCGTCCGGTTCGGCACGTATATATAATGATGATAATTAGTATAAAGATACATGTATACACACGTTCGTGTTGAAGTGGAACGTGTGTGACTCGTTATAACGCACACGGCGGCCGCAAAACTGTAAAAGGGTTTCGTCGGTCGTAAATAGTGTGTACGTATTGCGGTGAAGACTTAGACGACGCGTACAATAATAATATTGTGTACGTGTATTTATTACACCTGATTGCTGCTCGGGGTGGGTCGGCGGAGATATTACGTGCAAACGGATACGCTCTCCCGTCGTCATTTTAATACACACACACACACACACACACACATATATAATCAAACGGGTACGTATTATTGCGTTTCTTCAGACAGCAACCCCTTTGTCGCTAATTAGACCGGTGTATGAGTGCGCAAGCGTGGTTGTTATTACGTAACAACGCCGTCGGTGTGGAGTAGAAACGAATGAAAAAAAAAATATTTAAAAGCGGTTTATTGACGTGTAAGAATACCTTCAAGTCTCACGTAATTGTACTTGCATTGACCGCATGGTATTAACGTGTAATGATATTTAGCAGCGGTGACTCTCTCCCCTGCGAGGTGCCTATCTCGTTAGCCATGATAATCGGCAGAAATCAACCCTTCGTTTAAAAAAAAAAAAAACAAAAAAAATTAAAACTCTTATAAACACACACACACACACACACACACACATGTTCGCGATAAACGGTAATGGGATTAAAATAGGGTAACTGGATATTTATACGATGCACGCGATAAAGTTACACTTTGTGTGATTCGTGTGTACGGATTAAAGCTCCCTGTTTAATGTACTATATATGCGTTCACGTATTCACGTGAAATTAACATTCGTTAATCTAAAACCTTGTACTTGAAAAAATCGTGCTGTACGCAAAGGCCGGTCACGATATAGAACATATATATAGTGCAGCACCGCACAAATATCCGTGAACACGTGAATAACTCTGTTGTAGTATTAGGCAATTCAAATTTATTGTTTAGGTCAAAGCATCGGTGTAAACTTGAGGGGGGGTTAATAGGTGGGAAATTGACCCCCTGTAATAAATACGGTAATAAATACTCAATAAATAATAAATAAGTGCTCCCTCTGATATTTAAAATACCTCGTTTTAAAATAAGTACAATACAGCTGATTATAGCTGTTACTATATAATTTTTTTTTAAATCTTAATTTTCAATATTTGTTTATCTAACATAATGTTAGAAAATGAATAATTTTGTATAATAATATATAGGTAGTAAAGCGACATTTAGCCGCGGATAAGATTGGATTAGGCCACCGGGGCACCAGGGAATGCCCCGGCGGGCTACTTTAATTTTGGTTAAATAAAATTACTTATATTTTTTGTTTTTAATTTATTGCGTCTATCTTCTATTCTTAAAATAAAATAAAAAATATCACCTTGTAACACGGTATTACTAATGGATACGTTGACACAGGATTAGATAACTCGAAATTTGTATATTGAACATATTTAAAATGTAGCGATAGGCCAATTGATAACAATGATTTCATCACAATATTTATGAATAGAAAAATTGTAGGAAATTCGAATACAAAAAAAGTGTACAAATTTATAATTAATATAATATTAAAAATAATTAAATATTTATTAGATATATCTATGCAAACTAGTACCACTATAATTTATAATAAAATATATGTTAAGAATTTTAAGTATATTCATAATTTATCAACCCTAATAGAATTTCATAAATATAAACATTTAATATATATCTCTGATCTTGAGTATAATACCAGATACATATATAATCGAAATACATGTCTTCCAAAATTTAATAATACAATTGTTGGCCAAAAAATTATATAATATATTTGTCTAAGTTTTTGTTGTAAGTTAAATATAAATAATTTTCATAATTTAAAATCCTTAACTTATATAAGAGTTTTAGATTTATTAAGTATTTAATTAAACTAATTAATTATTTATTAGTTTAAGTTATATACAAATAAGAAATTATAAATTGTTATGTACCTGTATATACGAACTTAAATAGATAAAAGTCGTTGCTCCCTCACAAGTTTTGCTTATAAAGGTAGCTTTAATATTGTATTTTATTTTTTGAAAACTTTAAATTACGAATTATATTATTACAATAAAGCTTACTTATAATAATAAAAAACAAAAACGTAGTTGAAAGCTTTTATTTCTTGGCTGCTGAAGCATTAACATTTTATATTACACAGTTTATTAAACATTGTGTAGTAAACAGAATGATAAACGAAATTTAGGTATTCTAACTGAAAATTCTTGAATTATAAATATTATGGACTGCGACCAAATCAAAACTAAGATAAACAGTATAATGATATGAATTGAATACTCAAATATAAGCATAATATATTCTTACTTATTTTACTTTTAAGACAATTTAATAACATAACGTTAATACCTTCGTTTATTTATATACCTATTATTTATATTCACATTGAAATTAAACATTATTATTATATCTATTTGGTTACTTATATGCTTACATTTGCTGTTGGACGGTTTGATATGAATTATCTTAAGGATACCTTTATTAAGAAGTGTGCTGATATTATAAATGTGTCAATTATAATAAAGTATTGTGGACTGCTAAACTTAGTGGGTTTTCTCAAAGCACTGAATTATAGAATACGAGTCTATTGAAATTAAACATAATTTAAACTTAGTGTAAATTACATGGATGGATTCGTTTTAAAAATATTATACATATGATACGTTTGTATTAATTTTATACATTTTAAAATCAGTCGCGATTTGCATCTTGCCCGTTACACACGTTATCGTACGCTCCTCTTAATTGTTGTGTTCCCGTTATTATTTTGTGTTCAAATGCGACAAGTTGACTACGTAAAAATTCAAAATCAACAAGCATTTTTGTAAAAAATGTTGTGCGTTTAAAACCAACCAATTACCGTTTATACAACAAAAATATTCGTCGCGCTATCGCTGCAACTTGCGTGACAACCGTTACCCTCAAGATAATATGTCGTAGCCTCATAATACATCACGGAAACAGAAAAATAAAAAATAATAATAATACACTATCTACTCATTTAAAAACAACTAATGATCTTGTAGACGTTATCGAAAATATGGACGATGATTTGAATAATTGGAACGAAATCAAATCATCAAAGGACGGTAAACGAAATCATTCTAGCTCTTCCGAACAAAAAACTCCGCGAACACCAGTGAAGAAAAATAAAAAGTTTTTTTTTTCTGCAAATCGTTACGAAGTATTATTATAAAACGATCATGAGACTATTCTCCCAACGATTGATCCTACTAATACTAATATTAAAAAACCTGTAGCATCCTTAAACGTTGAACATAAGTTTACTCTACCCCCACCAATATTCTTAAGACTACTACACGTTACATTTACTGATCTGTGCACAAAACTCATTGAGATTTTGGTGTCGAAAATTTCCACAACAAAGCTCTGGCAGACCACCTCAAAATTATGACAACCAATTCAGATTCATATAGATCCGTGTCTTAAGATCCGTGGTCCATTTCTTAAGAGAAAAAAAAGCTAAATTTCACACCTACCAGCTTAAAGAAAACAAACCAACTCGAGTTGTCATTTGCAATCTTCACTCAACTACTCCGTCGGAGTTAATCAAATCCGAGCTCGAACAACGTCTTTTTGAAGTCAGGTACGTCTCAGCTGTCCTACACAAAGTAAATAAAAATCCACTAATTTTGTTCTTTGTGAACCTCGAACCAACCAGCCAATCCAACGACATTTTCCAACTTACATCCCTTCTCCACACAAACATTAAGATGGATGAACCTTATAAGACTAAAACTATTAGTCAATGCACTGATTGCCAAGTATATGGACACACCAAATCGTACTGTGACTATCCAGCTCGTTGCGTTCGCTGCGGTGGTCATCATTTATCAGCAGAATTTATCAAATTATAAAGGATGCTCCATCTACAACGAAAAAAAAATCTAATATCAAGTAATCACTTATCTAATAATTTTAGCTCTAAAAATACTTATGTACAAAATACCCACTCAGTGAAAGTCTCCATAATACACCCTTTAGAATCTACTCCTACCTACGCCTAAGCTACTTTTAATTCTCATTCCAATCATACGGTACCTTCATCTACTCTAGACATAAAATAATGTCAACCTTCATTGATGAGTTTAAACAATTTATTAATCCTTTAATTGTTCTACTAATCAAAGTAATTTCAAAACTTTTAGATTAAAAATATGTCTTCTTCAACAAGCAACTCACTCTGATTCTCCAATTTAATGCTAACATCCTCAAGAATCACTAAAATGAATTACAGGTTAAACGTATCGATATTACTCTAATATCAGAAACGCACTTCACTAAATATTCTCATCTTAATCCCCTTATTTCCAATTCAGCGTCTCGCACAATTCCAAGCAATCCCACACGATGACTGAAAAGAAATTGGTGTCGAGATTTACTAAATGAATAAATAAAAATGATAAAACAATTATTAATAAACAAATAGGTAGTGCTTTCACTGGATGGCTTCTTTCCCCACGCTTTCATGTACAAAATATTATCTGTATATATAAAACAGTAAGCTGATTGACTGCTATCAACGCACAGCTCAAACCATTGGACGGATCTGGCTGA